TGTCAAAATACGCTTCAATAGATATTGCCGAATGCTAATATGCAGTTTTAACTTTGAAAAAAACAAAACAAACGAAGACAACAACGCCAGCAATAAGCAAAAAATAAAATAAAATAAAAAATAAAAATACTGATTAAAAGGCTGGTGGTTCTCGATGGTCAAACAAAGCTGAACAATAAGCAAGTTGTTCACATCGTCAGACCGTAAACACGTTAGATAACGTGGACCAGTGGGCCTGCGAGGCTAAGGCTAACATTCATTCACAAATAATAGAACCAGCGTATGTTAGCTGGTTTAAAACTACAGCTTTAGCTGATATAGCAAATACGCACCTATTTTACCTGCTACATATGCTACCGATTGGGCAACTTATACGCTATACGAGCCAAATGTGCCGCCTGCATGTTGATGCGGCCTTATTTGAAGTTCACTAGACATTTACCGCTAATCTAGCTACTTAGCCTGCTAAACCTTTAGCTGCTACGGTGGCCAAACAAAACAAATTCATTCGTTGAGTATAACAATTTATTCTGCATCACATATTTACCCAGTTTAAGTTGAATAGCTGCAGCTGGTGTAACGAAAATGTCAGATGTCAGCCGGTAAGTTGCTGAATGTGCTAATCGTTATCGTTAGCATGCTCACTCTTCCGCCATGATGGAGAGAAATATCCCAGCATGCCTTGCTTCGCGGTTTGAATGGCCGCGTCACTGTTTCCTAGGCAACACCAAAGTAAACTATGCGTTTCTTTACTTCGAAAATATTTTGTATATTTTTGTCGTTTTCAAGTGTGTTTGTTTGGTCTCCAGATTCATAAAAACTTAGTTTGCAAGGGGTAATAATTACGTTTATGTTTAATGATGGAGGTCCAGGTCTATCAAAATTTATTTATATTGTCTATGCTTTTATTGTGGTGGGTATACCGGAAGTGAGTCGACTACTGTTTTGCAGTATTAGCGAGTAACGTGAATGAAAGTTTTGTTAGTACATTGGGTCATGTGTTTACGTTGAAACATTTTTATTAGGCGGAAAACATGAAGAAAAGGTTTCATATCAACTTGGACGATTCAATTTTCAACAAGGAAATATCACCGGTGTGTATTTTTTATTTATTATTGATGTAGCTACTTAGCTATGTGGCTAGCGACCTGCATCTCACCTTTCAAAGATACTTCCATAGCAAAAGCTAAAATTATCTTTCGGGTGGGTTAGCTTGCTAACACACTCTTTTATAACTTAATATATTATTCTCGATGTTAAAACAGCTTTTGACTATATTTTCCAGCCAAAACCACAGTTTCAGCCTTCATCATCTAAAGGACAACAAAACAAAACATCCTCCACTGCTTCTACCGCAGAGCCGGCTGCAAAACAAGCTGACCAACCCCTGTCTTATGCAGAATACATCGTCAAGAGTAAAAGCAATGTGGCTGCTGTTCCACAGAGAGACCCCTCCTCCGAAGTGCTCAGGACTGAAGGTGCTGGACTCWCTAGTCTGAAGCAAGCAGAGCCAGAGTGCGTGCCATCCAGCACAAGAAGGAGATGTGAAACAGACCAGGGTGTTGTTCAGGACACTGAAGCTCAAACTGAGAGGATGAAAAAGAGTGAGGTGATTGATGGAAATTGCCAAAAGTCAGATCCTTGTCTGAACCAGGGTCCTAAACCAGTGGGGTCTGGGAGCAGCATTATAGTTAGTCCTCGACAGGTAAACATATACTTTGTTTTGAMCCATGAGATAATAACTAAATATATACCACTTAATGCACTTTTCCTGTGTGTTAATTGACATGTTGATTTTTTTTTTTTGTTATCTTTGTAAAATATTTGGAAGACCACTTTGTGTTTGTTTTTGCCCCTTCAGAGAGGAAATCCCATTCTGAAGTTTGTGAGGAATGTGCCATGGGAGTTTGGAGAAGTTGTGCCAGATTACATTTTAGGACAGACAACCTGCGCTCTCTTTCTCAGGTGGGCTTTTGTCCTTTATGAACTGGGRCTGTGTATTGGCAAGAATTTGGCGATACGATACATATCATGACAGAGGGGTCACGATACGTTATATCCCGATATATTACGATACTGTAAGCAAGGCAATACATTATGATATATTGCGATTTTTTTGTCCAAAAATTCTATTAAATAAAAACCTCTTACTGAAAAAAAAGAAAAGAAAAGGTAATGTTTACTTACAATGCTTACATTGTCTCCTACAATGCTAATGCTATCCTTACTCTCTGGCGCTCAAGAGGTAGAGGAGCCAAATGGCTGGCTCACTGCTGCCAACTAGTGGTCAGAGGCTGAACTACAACATGAAAATGAACGGTTGGCAAGAAGGTTGACAATTTAAAGCTTAATTAAAAATCAATACAGGGCTTTAGAATATCGATACAGTATCGGGAAATGAAATATCGCGATATTTCAGTGTATCGATATTTTCTTACACCCCTATTATGAACTGTGACTCAAAACAGCTTTTCCTAGCAGCAGATTTGCATCCACAGTAAATAGTTTAGGCTGAGCGCAGSTTTGTGTATTTAAGTTTATTATATTGTAATAAACTTTGTTCTCTCATTTTCCTCTCTGGTTTTGGGTCCGACTCGAAGTCTGAGGTATCACAACCTTAATCCAAACTATATCCATGATCRTTTGAAGCAGCTTGGGAACACGTTCACCCTGCGCGTGCTGCTGGTTCAAGTGGATGTGGTGAGTAAAAACAAACGCTTTGACAGTAAATGTTGTTTAGGCATTTATCTGTTTTTAATTTATCAAGCAATTAGTAAAGAAAACAGACCCAGTAATTAACAAAGCTACTGTATATCTTTTCAATCTGTAATTTTTTCCCCCTGATTTGTTGGATTATTTTACAAATAAAACCTAAACTTTTACACATAAGTGTAAGTGTTTACTTACAATATAGCTAAAAAAATGTAAACATTCATCAGTTTTATGGTTTTGGCAAATTAAATCAGCCTCTACAGAACACTAATTGCAATGTGAGCAGTCCTTGCAGAGCTCTTCACTAGTGACAAATGTCTTGCTTCAACCAAAATTGGTTTAATGGGTATAAGTGAAGTGTGCTGCCGGTAACKCTTTTTGACACTACAAGAAGGAAAAGACACATGTTAGTTTATTAGCAAAAACTCCACCGTCTCAAATTACAGTGAAGGATTGAGAATGAACATGGCTTTAAATGACTTTTTATATGCTGATATATTTTGTGACAGAAAGATCCTCATCATGCTTTAAAGGAGCTGGCTCGCATCTGTRTCATGGCTGACTGCACGCTTATCTTGGCTTGGAGGTAAGACTGCAGCAGATGAGAGATTTAAATGCTACCGTCTCAAAACTGAGTGCAGCCAGCCTTGTCTTGGCAGCTTGAACGCGTGTAATCAGGTGATAAAGTTGGACCGTTCTGTTACCTGATGGTGCCTGTCTTTGAGGGTTTAACCATTTAATCACAACAATCCTTGGCAATTTGTGAGGCCCTTTATTTTCCTAGACTTTGAATCTAAATCCAGCATGTTTTCTCATTTTATTGATAAACCCGCAGCCCCGAAGAAGCAGGACGTTACCTGGAAACGTATAAGTCGTATGAAAAGAAGCCAGCTGACCTCCTGAAGGAGCAAGTGGAAAAAAACTACCTTTCAAAGGTCTGTGTCTTTGACGTCCCTTCTTTTAACCACAAAGTTATTTAGACATTTTAGTTTTTAACATAAAAACAACAGAAATCAGGTTTTAGAAAATACATGACCTTTTTTTTGTCCCTAAAGGTTACAGATTGTCTGACAACTGTGAAATCTGTAAACAAAACTGACGCCATCACCCTGCTGTCCACTTTCTCAGTGAGTATTTGGATGAGAGGGGGGAATAAATTACAGTCATTTGGTGTCATTTGAACCACAGGGTAAATCTTGACACCTTTGATTCCTCTCAAAGAGAATAATTCAGATTAAACCGATGCAGACGATACACTTTGCTTTTCTTTTACAGTCTGTCGAAGGAATCATCAGTGCCTCTAAGGAAGACTTGGTTCTCTGTCCCGGCCTTGGACCACAAAAGGTGAAGAAGAACATAAACACAGAACTTTAAAATGTTGATTATTGACAGAACAATTGGGTCACCTTATCATCTTATTTTTTTGTTTACAGGCAAGACGACTTCATGATGTACTTCACAAACCTTTTCTCAAGTCAAAGACGGACAACAGCTGAGATGTTTTATTCTGAATGTGTGACAAAAACAAAACATGACATGATTAGGCAGAACTGTACATACATTTTAAAATAATAATTAATTGGTCATTTACTGAAATGTTTAAAAATATGTCTGAAAATGTTTCGTTTTACCCTAAACTGCAAAGTGTTTTACAGTTTGAGTTTTGTAATTGAGTTTAACAAATAATAAAATATTTTTATACTGTATAATGTCCCCTTGCAGTTATTTACTCACAACACAAACCAAATAATGAGAGAGAAACGTATTTATAAAGTAATGCATTTGTAATTAGAAGAATCTTAACATGCCTAATAGGTAAATATGTCAAGTTTAGTCTAATGATTATTGATGCTTTTTGAAACATTTTTTTTTACATTTCTATCAGAAATACCCATTTTTTTCCTTGTATTGAATTAGGAAAAAAATTGAGAAGTAGCCCAGTAGGTCCCCCTGATTTACGTTGATAAGATTAGAATGGCTAAGCGATAAGATATTTTTAAGTGTACAACACGTTAGTACCTTTGTGACCCTGAAAATAAGATTATATCCTAAAATTATAGATTTAATATCCCATAATTGTGAAATGCAAAGTCATAATTTTGAGTAACTATAGGTCATATGAGATATGCTCACATAGTTAAGAGATGCTGAGACACAATTTTGAGATAGTAGCTCATTAAAGTGTATAATACAAGTGGCGAAAATGGGTTTTCAAAAACTAAATTTAGCATTAAATTTAAAAAGTAATCCGCACTGCCTTTCTTCACATCGGAGTCGCTAAGAGTTTAGAAATTTCCGACAGACTTGAATGTGTCAGAGAATCAAAACAGGAAGTGTGTTTGATGATCCKCACCGCTGAGTTTTGCCGCTTGTTTCGTTGTAGAAACAAAGTAACAATGTTCTTTCTGTTAATATAAAGGCCACCTTTAAATTGTGAGGTTAATTTTCAGGAGAAATTAAATGAAAGTGTTTAGAAGGCGTGTTTGAATCATGCAGACAGAGAAAGAAGAGGACGACGACGACGCGTCTCCTGAAGAGTTTGTTGCTTTGTGTGATTTCTCTGGAAGTGGCACCGAGCAGGTTAGGGGAAAAAAATAAAACAGCCGGTACAATTAGRACCAAAATAAAGATATCAATCTTAATTTTACCRCTTTTTGTTGTCTCACAGCTTCATTTCAGCTCAGGAGACAAGCTGCTTGTTCTGTCCAAGCCTACAGCAGACTGGTGGTGGGCAGAGCTGCTGGGGGTCAAAGGTTATGTTCCTGCCAGCTACCTGCAGCAGCACTCAGCTGAGGAGGAGGACAACTCTTCAGAGGACCCTTGGCAGGATGAAGAATACTTCGGCAGCTATGGGACACTGGTTAGACATAGACACATAACACCACCATCTTTATATTGTGCTGATTCTTAACTCTTTGACATAAAAGATTTAGGTTTACGTGGAAGCTTTAAGACAATCTTACACAGTTAAARCATAGTAAAACATGATGGTCTCTTAGTGTGGATATCATGTTTATATATATTTTATTAGTGACCATATTCTTGCAGCAGAAAATAGTCTAAAGGTGCATGAATGAACACAAAAACTGGTGGGCAGAAGATTAAAAAATAAAAACAATGCCTGTTGMGTTTGGACAATAGAAGAATGAGAACAGGACAAACGTTTATGAACGAATCCAAAAATTACAGATGCTGATACAATTCAAACTCTACAGCAGARTTGTCAAATTAATTATCACTGAGGGCCACATGAGCATTATGATGGTCCATAAGGACCAGTTGTAACATTTCATGTTGAACTTCAACTAAGCGGAAAACATCGCCTTCCTTGTCTCACTGCTCCAGCTGAGCACAGCAAACAAACAATAACTGAGCTCTACGTGGTATTTTATGCATAGAAACMGTGTTTTAACTAGGGATGCAAAAAAAATCGGCTCGTGATTAATTGTCTTAAWTAATTTTAGATTAAAATTTGTTCCAATCGATTAACTGATAACGTTGGACTGGAAAGATACACCCTCTGTGAGACTTGCAGGCCTTGAGTTTAACCCATGTGCTTTGCAAAAATGCAATAAGTACCCTTAACAACAATCAGCAAATTCTTGTCATAATACATAAATTTGAGTAAATTTACTCAGTGTTTGTGTACATTTTTGGCATCTATACTTACCACAAAAGTAAGGAAGTGTGTGTTTGGTRGATTGTTTTGTTGTAACAAYGGGCCTCATGCAAGAACATGTTCGTATTCTTATCCTAAATTTCTCTTACTTTTGTTCRTACGAAGGGTTCAAAGTTACATAATGAAAAGAATGAMGATCCATCTTCTTGCATTATACTTGAAAAAAGAAACACACAAAAAAATATTGTTCCAATGTTTATTTAGTTGTTTTACACAAATCTTTGTTTAATCACATTTACTGTAAAATAATAGTTGATTAAACAAAGATTTGTGTAAAACAACTAAAGAAACATTGGAACAATATTCTTTTTGTGTGTTTTTTTTCCTTTTTTTGTCAAGTATAATGCAAGAAGGTGGATTGTCATTCTTTTCATTATGTAACTGATTTATAAAATGATAATAACTTGTAGTTAAAAGGAAGTATAGATCAAAAATATAAAGAAYAGTATTATTTTGTTTATTAAAGAAAATAAAATGTGAGAAAGGTCTTTTGAGATCAGGGTCAAAGACAGGTGGAAATGTTTATTCCCCCTCAGGGTGACCCTTACAYAATTATGAGTTTACGCTGTAGATGTTATTGTCTCCTATATTAAATAGTAATTTGCTTGGACAACTTTGAAGTCTTAACAAAATGTAAAGAACATAGATAAACTGGATTAAAATGAATGTTTTGTACGATGTGAAACATCATGGATTTATCAGTATACAAAGCACAGTTAGGCTGCTGATATTTCAGACACAAAGTCAAGGTTGTAGGTTGTAATTTGCACAAACTTCAGTCAGATAAAGGATCAATGAGCCAAAGTGACCTGATTAGCATTTTCAATAAAACAACCCTGATGTCCCTATGCTTCACCTTCTGCTTCACAGATAAAACAARAGCTATATATTTAATTACAGTAGAGGTTGTTTTGATTTTATTTTACACAAAAAGTTTGTTTTGTCATTTTTCGTCTGTCAGCAGCCTTTGTCAATCACACAATTCGCATTCTTTAGTCCAGTTAAGAGAATTTAACCRCAGAATTAGTGTGTTTATTTGGTCCTGTTTCGTGATGCAGAGGCTTCACCTGGAGATGCTGTCAGACAGGAGCCGCACTGAGACGTACCGGCAGGTGGTCCTCAGCAACAGCGCTTCCCTGAAGAACAAGGCGGTGATGGACCTCGGCTGTGGGACCGGGATCATCAGCCTGTTCTGTGCTCAGCTGGCTCAGCCTTCGGTGGTAATCATGACACGAATGCTGACGCAGCAGTTTCAGAGCAATGGCTGAATTTAGAAAGTCTAGGWGGCCCCGACTGATAAGAGCAGCTTGAATTCTTCAAAAATGCTAAAAGAGGGACTTCAGTGCTTCTCTCATCTCGTTTAGAAAACATTCAACCATTTTTAAAGATATTTTTGTTCCTTCTGTCACTTATTTCCATAAAGTGGTACAAATTTTGTTTGAAGTGAACGTGAAGTAAAATGGCTGAGTATTATTTGTAATATTCAATACCCTGTTTATAGAAAGTACTGCCGTGTCAGGACAGCAGACTCACACTTTGCCGTGTGGTGGTCAGATTCTTGTGGCTCTGCCGTTGACCTTGTGACGTTTTTCGATAGTGTCCAGGAAAAATACTCTGGGAGAAGATTAATAAACTGGATTTATGGATTCTGTCACACAAAATGGCTTTTAGTGTTTATGTCACACTGTTGACAGTTATTCAGTCAAAACACTATAATATTCAATTCACAAAGGTTATAATAGTTTTKCATTTTTCATTACTCACAGCTAATGCGAAAATGCTAGGTTTGAAGAAAAAATAAAGGATTTGTTTAATCAGTCCACRCGGCTTAAAATAAATTGACAAATTTTATTMGTTTTTATTTATTTCAGTTAACTAAAATGTTGTTTTCAATTTCAGTTTTCATTATTTAGTTAGTTTTAGTTAAATATAATAACCSTGCAATTCACTGCAGTTTATATAGCATCAAGTGACAACAAACGTCGTCTCAGGGCACTGTACAACAAAGAGACATTTTAAGGAAGGCAGCAGATTGTGTTGAATCTTCACTTCGTTACAGTCTCCCATCCTGAGCAGCACATTGGCAACAGTGGAAAGGAAAACTCCCTTTTAACAGAAGGAAACCTCCAACAGAACCAGGCTCAGGACGGGCGGCCATCGGCCTCGACCGGCTGGGTTTRAGGTTGGGAAAGAGACACAGAAAAACATCGAATAACTGGTCCAGGTGTATTTTCCTCTGGAAGAGAGACAAAGAAAATACAYATTATTGATAGAAATAATTAAAACAAACATGTAGAGAAGAGAGACTAAAGACAACAGCAGCAGAGTGAGGAAATGTGCTCAGTTTGTCCTCCAGCAGTCTAAACCTATAGCAGCAGAACTAAGGAATAACCCAGGAAACCTAAGCCTAACTGTAGGATTTATCAAACATAATATCATACATAATCTAATTTAAAGTAAAAACATAGTATATCTAATTTAACTCGTATTTTTCCCTGTTTGTATTCTAAAATCCCTGTGATACATGGGAATCTTCATGTTGAACACTRGTGTAGTTACAGCCCCACCTGCTGGATGAACAGTGTTACTGGCACCACCAGCTTGGTGTGTAATAAGTTTGTCGTACTGCAGGTGTATGCTGTGGAGGCCAGCTCCATGGCGGAGTTCACCARGCAGCTGGTAAAGCAGAACGGCTGTGAGGAGGTGGTCTCGGTGCTCCAGGGCCGAGCCGAGGAGCTGGAGCTGCCGGAGCAGGTGGACGTCCTGGTGTCCGAGTGGATGGGCAACTGCTTACTGGTAAGACAGGCACTTCCACTGGCAGAACTTTTTCATTTTCACCAACAATATGGATCGAATATCYACCATTTTTGTTTCYAATTTAGTTTGAGTTCATGGTGGAGTCGGTTCTTGTGGCCAGGGACCGCTGGCTCAGAGATGGAGGAGTGATGTGGCCCTCCTCTGCTGCTCTTACCCTGGTTCCATGTCAGGCGGACAGCTATTACACAGAGAAAATGGCTTTTTGGGAGCGGCCCTATGGCTTGGATTTCACTCCTCTTCAGTAAGAAATTACTATTGTTTAAATTTATTCTTGGGGGAAAAGGGGCAGATAAAAAATATTAAGATATTTTTCTCTTTTCTGCTTCCTTTCATTTTATTTATATTTTATTCTGTTGTGTAC